GGGGTGCACATCAAACAACTACAATAAATCCATTCAAAAATATGACAACATCGATCCACAAGGTGTTTTAAATGGGTAAGAAAGCCTTTGCACATCCAAATACAAATACAGGTTGATATTGGCTTAACATGTCAGTAGTAGACTGTTGTCATGGAAACAAGTCAGGCTACCTAATGCAGAAGCCATACGCTGCTCTGATAAATGTGGATTTGTAGTGTTTAACAGTTAAAAACTATAGAGCATTAATCTGACTAATCTTTACACGAATGTGTTTGTGTAGTGGCATGTGTTGCTATTAGCATCTTAAAAAGGACCTGGACTGGTTGTGAGTAATGGTGAATTCCTTGGCTCAAATTTCTGACCAAAGTGCATCGAATCTGCAAGTCACCATGAATATTTCTTTTTAAAAAATCATGTTAGTGTATTATATTTTACAGAGCATGGTGTGACTACATCCATCAAAAGCTTAGGTTGTTTTACAGCAGTGATTTGTAACAACAGCGTGCAGACTTATAAGAATTTTCAATACTTTTTAGAGCCAAAGTGACTGAAAACAACATGTTGTAGATGTGCGTACAAGTGAAGTGTAACTCTTCCAGGTAACAACAGGTCAACTGGTAAAACGCTGAGTTTCCTATAAAAACACCATTTGAATTGCGCAAATTCAACAAGCTAAAAAAAACAGATTTATCGCTTAGATATTTATTAAAAATCTCATCTATGAGCATAAAGGAAAGTTTGTCTCACATCAGTTTATTGCAAATACACTGGGAGCGTAAATTTACTGCTTAAGTTCGTTAAATTTCGATGATGTTTTCATAGCAACCTCAGCGTTTTCCCAATAAATGCGTGAGCTCAGCCCATGTGCATTTGTAACGATTTTTACAAAATAGTCAAACTTACCAATGTAGCAGGAATTACCTGAACCTGGTGTTTGAATCCTGATCTGTTGTTATGGCCCTGCTTGATCTAGTTTTTCTTGTCACTTTATTTGTCCCGTCTCTTTTTTTTTTTCTTCCACATTCAGCAGTAGACTCAATCTTTACATTTCCATCTCTTCTCAGATTCTCATCTCATCCCACCAGATTTGTTTACCAACACAGATTACAACCATGGTGTGTAGTTCAGTCACATTGGTTTTTGCAGATTCAAGCGTTTTATTTACACTGGGTGCGTACCAGCATTTCAGAATTACATATCAATATACGTGGAAAACTACGGGAGTGAGCTCTTTCAAACTGCACCACATGATTTATTTCTGGATAATATTTTGTTAGTGTTAGGTATACTTTGCAAAATAAAAAAATAAAAAAAACTTTAATGATAAACACACGTCCTCTTGCACCAGGACCACCCAGCTTGTTACTCACTGCACGAGAGCTACCCACAGTTTTGAACTGGGAAGTTTAAAAGCCTGTTGAGGAATGGTTTTCAAGTCTTACCAGTGGAGTGGTCCACAGGTCCCCCGCCGTTGTTGCTGAACAGGGCAGCGTACAGGTCAGGGTAAGCCTTCTCCAGGGCCACACACAGGTCGAGGAAATGGTCGCTCTCCTTGTTCGTCAGCATCTTCAAAAGGTGGTCGACTTTCTCGGCGCTGGACGAACAGTTCTGCTCCAGCTCGAACTTGTCGAGCTGGCTTAAGGTACCGGAGACTATCAGCAGCTCGATAACTCGATCCGCATCTGTTATGGACTCCAGTAAGTTCTGGTGGCACTGGTCTAGCAACTCTTTGTGCTTTGGCTCCATTGCTCCCTCCGCTGTAGTTTCCGTAGCTTTCCCCCAGCTAACCCAGACGACCAAGCCAGTGGATGGACGATCCCCTACCGATCAAAAGTACCGAGCGATTACAGAAGTGAACTCACCGCGGCTGGCAGAAGTTCGCCAGAGCCACCACGGCATCAGCTTGCACGGGAGATCAAGCTTTACAGCATGTTGAAAAAGGCACAAGAAGCCATATTTGTTGCCCAAGGCTGTTGACTGCACTAAACAGCGATACATTTTTCCATCTTACTGACGTGTAGCAGTTCAGCTCGTTTTCTGCTTCCCCTCGGAGTACGCTTTCGCCGAATGCATTTTTCTCTCCGTCCGTATCATTTCAGGCGCGCTTTGCCGACGAAACTGCTGGGGAAACTCACGTTAACTCCGCCGCGGATCCTCAGTTACACTGTACCCTCCGCCATGTCTGAGCAACTCAGCAGCTGCTGCCCGCTGTCAATCAACAGCTCGTTCAATGACCAAATATGGTGAAAGGAGGCGGGGCCTCGGAACAAAACGCACCCACTTCTTCAATGGGCGTACACATCTAATATGTACTACGTCGAAAATCCCAGATGGAAAAAAAAATACGAGAATGGAGAAATTTTCCATCAAAATTTCCAAGATGTTAACAGCTGCTCCAATAAAGGTTTTCATGACATGTAATGATGTTTTTTTAAAACATGCCAACATATATAATAGCATATAGTGCACAAACTCTATTTTCTAATTGTGAAAATTATTTAAAAAAAATCTTGTTTTAAAATATAATTAATATAAAACGTATAGAAAATAGTATTTTTAATCAAACAAACTGCCATACTGATATTTACATTGTAACAGAAACAATAAGAACAAAAAAAAAGTCTAATCAGATAATCATATTTACACTTTTTTTCTTAAAATGTGTCAAACTTAATTAAGCAATTCTTGCTTCTCACTGGGTCTGTGATAGATCAGCTTGCAGGTAAAGTATATATTTCATCACAAAGTTTGGACAGAATCACAGAATGCTTCCGTGTAAATTAATTATAAAGAAGTAGGCTAATAAAAAACAAGTGAACTTGTCTGGTCACCTCTGAGAGCTTAAAAAAATAAAAGCAGTTGTTCCTACACCATCCTGCAGCCTGGACATGAATACAGAATAAGTTTAAAATCCATTGCTCATTATGGCATAACATGTGCCTCATGTTATAAACAAAACAAGTGAAACTATTGTTTAAAATAGTGTTTTCGTTTAACAATAAAAAATCAAATCAGTTATCCCCAAAACTATACTTACTGACCTCATTAGGCCTTCTTGAGGAGGGAAATGTTAAAGCAAAAATAAAAAAAAAATATGTATTCTGCAACCACGGTCTTGTACACATTTCAGGCTGCAACGCCACTTATTTTAGAGAGGGATAAATTATCATAGAAGAGACATATACTTATAAGCGATACATGAGGCTGACAAATGAAATGTGTGTTTGAGGAGGATTTGTGAAGCAAAGCATGATGATGATGGTGATGGACTCACCCTGCTGCCTGACTACAACTGAATAGATTGTTGGCACAGAGGCAGGCGTCTGCAGGCATACCTCTCAAACCGTGACCTTATTCATGCATGCACTGAATCTCATTGTGACATATGCCCCCCCTCCCCCCCATATACACACACACCATCCTGTCTTTCTCTGCCATGCTGACTGCAGACCGTGTGCTATTCATTCGGATGAAAAATTAATTACAATTCATTCATTTCAAAGGGAGGTTGGTCCCTACAGCTGACACAGATTGGACAACTGCGTCTGGC